AAGCTGGGGGTGGAAAGAGAAGGCTTGGAATCAGCTCACCCACCACTTTAAAATGTTCTTTATAAAGAGGTATACAAGCAAGAAGAGAATGGAGGGGTCTTTACTCCCCCAGCTCTTGGAATACAATGTGGTTTTGGATGTATTTTTGCTTCTATGCTCCCTTTAGGAATGAGAAAAAGGCCTTGGTTGCCAGTGTTCTTAAAAACATAGTTAAATCTCCTGAATAAATAAACTGCAGCTTCTGTGGTGAGTGCAGGGAGTCTTGCTTAACTTAATGCTCCATGGAAAGCTGCTAGATAAGGAGAGCTCGGCTGTGTGAGACTGAGCAAGCAACTGACTATGGGATTTCCTGATATCCTAAAACCCAAAGTGTTTAGCAAATGGATTAGGTCAGTGAAGCAAAACAAATATGCGGATGTTTCATTAGTCTGTTCAGTCTGATGCTATCTCTGACTTATTCATGGGGAGGGAAAAAAAAGAGTGTGTTTCCCACCATTGAGCTGGTTTCTCTCTGGGCTGTGTTGTGGTTTGGCTGTAGCTGGCTTGCAGAAGTTTAAGGAAGAATAAAAAAGGAAATTTCAGTGTGGCTGCAGAAGGGTTGGCTGGCATGCCACAGGGAAAAAGCATGTCCTTTTTGGCCTTCTGGGAAGGAAACCAAGCAGAAGGGAGACGTAAGAAGTGTGTGGGTGGATATCTCTCAGCTTTTCTTCCTCAAGGCATATAGCAAGCTGAGATGGGAGGGAATGGAGGGAGGAGGGCGTGCTAGGCTCAGCTGTTCCTACAGATGCAGTAAGCTCTTGAGCAAGGTAGAGCAGGAGAGAAACAAACATTATTATTGTGTGACTTCCTTTGAACTAGGGCACTTAGATGCTTTCCTGTGGTGCATAACTCATTCCAACCCTATCTAATCTTGTTCCCTTTGATTTTGGTTTATGTTAATTTAGTATTCTGTGGAAAACGGAGCCATATTTCAAATGCCTTCTGTCAGCTGCCTGTTAATACAGGTATCTTGAGATCTTCATTGAGGGTTACTCTGCGAGCTCAGGTTAATAACCTTGCAAGTGAACTAAACCAGTCTCCTCCTCGAGGCAAAACAGTTTCTTTTCACCCTGTTGTTGCTGTCCCATGATCACATTCTTACACACTGTCCTGGGTTGTAAGATAAGCTTGTATTCCATTTGCCATCTGTCGAAGGCGAACCGGTTGGACAGGTTTTTTGTTATCTCTCTCAGAGACAATGGTTTGTGTATACACCTTTGACTGATTCAATGAAGGGCTGAAAAAATGTAACACCGTGAGGGGTCCCACCCAGAGGGGGGAAGCAGCTCTCTCTCTTCTTCGCGGGACTCCGAGAGAAGCAGCTCTCTCTCTCTCTTCGCGGGATTCCGAGAGAAGCAGCTCTCCCTCTTCTTTGCGGGACTCCGAGAGAAGCAGCTCTCTCTCTCTCTGTTCGCGGGATTCCCAGAAAAGCAGCTCTCGCTCTCTCTCTCTTCGGCGGCACTCGCAGCGAAGCAGCCGGCGCGCGCAGAGGCGACGGCAGCGGAGCTCAGAGGCAACCCCGGCGCAGAGGAAGACCGGCCCCCACTGCCACCAGATCTTCAGAGGAAAATTATACCCTTCTAAAGATCACCACTTCAGCTGCAACTCATCAACTATTGCAAGGGAAAGCAATTGTCCCAGCAAACCTGATACTGGCAATCCTCAGGTTCTAGACTTTTTTCTTTCACTGGTTTTGTTTGTACCGATTGCATTTGCCTTTTTTTAAATTGTTGTCCAGTTTTCTCCTAGTAAAGAATTGTTACTCCCACTCCCATATCTTTGCCTGAGAGCCTTTTAATTTAAAGATCCTGGTAATTCAGGGAGAGGGGGGTTTGCCGTTCTCCATTGTACAGGAGGCTTTGCCCTCTTTCACAGACTCCTGTCTTGTCTAACCAAGACACACACGCAATTCAAGTCATGTGCTTCCTCAGGAACACCACTACCATTTTTTTTCAGTATTTTGCTAAATCTGCTGTTTAAATTGGAGCTTGCTGTAATAATACAGAATTTGTTAGAACTTTGCTTTTGTCCAGCTTCAGTTGGACAGCGATCAGAGAGTCTGTGCAGGTTAAATTTCTGCTTTTCTTTGGCAGTATCATAAAAACTCTAAATTATGAGTTTTACAAGGCCAAATTGTGTTTTACAGTACTGGACTGAAGGAAGTAATTCTGTTTCAAGCACCAGCAGAAGCATAGCTGTCTCAAAGACTCTTTTGGGAAGCTGACCCATGCTCTGGGGAGCTGATTTTGTAAGTATCCTGATCTCAGCTTAATTTTGCAAGCAGTCAGTGTTTTGACTCTGAAATGCCTCCAGTGTGCAATCCTGTTTATCTTGCAAGGCTTACAATTAGGCACAAATCTGACATCTAATATGTAAAGCCTGCAAAATAAATAAGAACTGTGTTCAGATGACCAGTCAGAAATAGAATGCAAGATCTGGTTAATGACACTTGAGCAAAACAAACAAACCCATAAAAATTGAGGAAACACAAACCTGTGTGATGGCAATTGAGTTCAGTGTTCAAGCTTATGTAGCAGGAAATATTAACAAAAAATATCCAGAAAATGAATAATCCTGCCTGAGAAGTGTTATAGTGTATCTTTCCCTGAGACTCATTTTACAGTGAGCTCACATCTTGTAAAGCTCTGTTTTAGGTGGGGAGGAGAAAATAAGAAATTATGTGACAATGCTGAAAAGGCAATGAAATTATCAGAGCAGAGGAATGCCACCACTTCTTTCTTTCTCTTGTTTCTGGAATTACCACAGGTGTCTGATACTGAAAGATAAAAATACTTCAGTTTTTTCCCACAGGAGTTAAAGTAATTCCAGCCTCTTCTCAATAAACTAAGGCGAGTCAGGTATGGCATAAATGCAACTTAAAACTCATTTGATGGATTAAGAAGAGAAGAATCCTCTGTAGAGCTGAGTAGAATTTTCTCACTTGTTTTGGTCTCATCACTTTTCAGTCACTCTTCCTTACCAGAGCATTTTTATCACTGCTGGGCCTGATCCATTGAGTGAGATTGAAACTTGAACAAGAAGGCAGTGGAAATGGAGCAAGATAAAATATGCACTGCAGTTCGTGGTACCTAGGTGCCATTGTGTAATAATATTAAACCCAAAGTTTTTAGTATGCTAGGGCTGGAAAAAGCTTTTTAGAATTTTTCTTTTTTTTTTCTCTTTTTTTCTTTTTTTTTTTCTCTTTTTCTCTTTTTTTTTTTTTTTTTTTTTTTTTTTTTTTTTTTTTTTTTTTTTTAAGTGAAGAAGATTGCTTGGCTCCAAAGGTAATTGATCACTAGAGACAGCATCAGGAAGTTTATTTGTTGCTTCCTGTGGTTATAGATTCACTGAATCCACTCTAAAATAGAAAAGTAATTTAAGTTCTTGACTGTATTGCCTGTGAGGAAGTTTTAATTTAAATGAAGGCTTCCCTTTGTGGTAATGGTGTAATTTACCCCTTGCCTAACCCTTTCCCACTGCCCATCTGCTTTGTGTCTCTCCATGCTTCCTTGTGTGCTGTGAGCCAGAACTATAACTTGGGAGAATGGCAGCTGATGTGGGCTGTGTTTGGTTGCTGGCAGCTGCTGGCATTTGCTTGTCTAGGATTTGATGTCTAGATTTTTGTCTAGATTTTGATGCCTAGTCAGAGATCAGATTTGGGTGGAAAAGGACAGATAAACCTACTAACATGGAAAAATGAGAGGCATGCTGTATGTTCAGTTACTTACTGCTGCCTTGTGGTGCCTGACTCATTTTCTGAGTGTGACTGAAATCTAGGCTGTATATAATCTATATTATGTCTGTGGGATCCTCACCTGCAGCCTGAGGCCACGTGGGTGTTCCTGTGGTGTAATAAACAGCAAAGGCCTGTGCCAGCCCATGCCTTGCAGGTAGAACTGCTTATGATAACCTCAAAAATGACAGCAAAGTTTAACAAGTCTGCTTTGTGATCTCCATTTAAGTTTGGGGGGTTTTCTTCTTTATCTATAAATATCTTTGTATGAAAGGACTTCTGATAACAGCACTTAGTCTAACAAAGAAAGGTATTGCAAGCACCAGACAAGGTGACTGAATTACCCAAATCCACACTAGGAAAAAGTCCTTCAGATAATTGAAGTGCACTGGATCCAGAGTTACTTTCTGAAGAGTTGCTGTAACCCAACGAAGCCTCCTATGTTAGTGGCCTGGGGTGAAATCTTTTGGCCTGTCTTCTGCCAGGATCGAGAACACTGATTCATAATGAGGTATTTTAGCATTACAATTGATAAACCTTAATGCTGACTGATTAAAAATGCTGCTTTTTGTATTTTTAAACCAGACTAGGTGCATTCTCTGTATGGATGGTTAACATTAAGCTTTTTCTGGAGAACATTTTAGTATAGTATGTCACTTGCATCTGCAAACAATTGTAACTTATGTGTGTATTTTTTACAGCTTAGGCAGCCTCAATGGATCCGTCACCTCTGTGGGATCCCTACTCTCTGTGTGTGCGGAAGGTCTTTGCACAAGTGAGCTGAGACCTGAGTGCTTTATTCCTGTTTTTTTTTTTTTTTTTTTCCCTGCAAGAAGAGGCCGATCCAAGCCTTTGAAATTACTGTAGAGAATTGACAGTGCTGCTGGTATGCATCTTCTGATTTCTTGTACTAGGAGTCTGGCATAAACTGACTGCTGCTTCCCTGGGACCACTTTCTGCCTCCATTAAACTCTTTCCTGCTCTCTTGATGCAGTTCTTAATTTCAGCTACTGTGTCCCAGTGTGTCTAGAGTGGCTGAGTCTGTCCCTCCACCTTGCTTGTTGATGGCTTGTCTTGGGGCCTATTTCTGGCATGACTCACTCCAGCATTACTGAATTATGACTCTGAAGTTTGTCAGGAAGAAAGCTGCTTACAGTAAATGAAGGGGATGAGCAGTCAGTCTCCATGGCTCTGCCTCCTCTTTGTTATTCACACCCCCTCGAGCACTGTCAGGACAACTCTTGTCATTTTGCTCTTGCTCTTCTCACAGTAGATGTTTCCTGTGAAGACTGAAATTCATCTTCAGCACTGTTTACATTCCTGCACAGAATATAGCTACTTTAGTAAAATGAAGGTAGGACTTGATTATTTATTCTGTCTGCCGCATGTTACGCTGATGTTGAAATGCTATGAGTATTTTTTATAGGGTGAACATCCAGCAAGGCCGTGCCACCCCTCATGGATGACAGGTTGCATTCAGAAGGAGAGTTACCCCAGCAAAAGCAGGCAGTCTTTGAGCACTGCTGACTCACTGAAACCTCTCCTGTAATGTGGCTCCTGGCAGATCAAATGATAACTGCAGTCACTGCGGATCTCTCTGCATTGTTTTTCTTTCTCTTGGATGTCACTGTCTTAAAAGGATTTCTTTTTCAATGAGTTATTGGTTCAAATTTAATAGAATACATGTTGCCAGCTGGTGTCATTGCTGATGGGTTGGCTACTGACTCTTCTAGCTTACTAATGAAATGAAACTGATATTTTATAAATGAAACTAATATTTTAGAGCGCCTGCAACAGGGATCTTGCCTCAGTTAGGCTCTCAGGCTCCTATGATTTACTTAATCATTCATGCACTGCCTAACAGGCAGTTGCTGATGCTCCCTGTTAGTGAAGCACATTGGTTAGCAAAACTTCAGGACTTCTTTGTGTTGGAATGTCTGTTTAGAAACATGCCTGAAGTTCAGTGGCACACCTTGAGGAAATGTATGGAAATCCTGCAGAAGAAAACAGACTGAGTATTGAATATGAGAGGGGTGGGGAACAGATGCTATTTTTTTTTTTTTTTTGCAGAAGTATAATGATTTTACTTGTAACTTGAACATAATTATGCTGAGATGAAGAAATTCCCTTTGGAGAAGATAAAAAAAAGGAATCCATCCCTTCATTTCTCCTCTGGGTCTTGGCTGGCTGCCTCAAAGTATGGGTGGGTGGGAAATCTGTGTGTATAAACAAAACCCAAATGAACAAAAAGCCCTGTTTTCAACTTGTTGCTTAGCCATTGTGGAATTTAGTACCATAGAAATCACATTTTTATGGATGACACGCAGTTTCTCATGAAGATTTTGTAGAGTGGCAAGAGATGATATGGGCTTTGGTGGGGTGCAATTTGTTTGGTTTGGGTTTTTGAAGTTCTACATTATATCAAGAGTCAGAGGAGACTAGAGTGATGAACCAAGCAAATCTGTGGTGCAGCAGAAGTTCTTCATTAAAGTCACAACCGTATGTCTTCCTGTGTCTTGCATCCTTCTGAGACTGCAGTGCACTCCGTAGTAGAGCTGAAAATACTCTTGCTTTTTGTAAAACAGGGCTGCCCAAAACTTAATGCTGGTGCTGCCCTACTTGAGATGCCTAGAGCAGGGCTTGGATGAAGCAGCAGAAGCAGAGAACAGGAGTTGCTCTGCTATGGGTAATCCTAAATTCTCCTGGGCTAGAAACTGTGGAATGTCACATTGGAGATGCAAATACACATATGCACACAGAGTGAACTTCTATGTCCTTCTACTTTGTTTTGTGTGTTTGGCAGTGTTGCTGTATTGTTACACTCTGTTTTTTCCCCAGGAAAAACCATACTGTTTCCTTGATGGAACTGCCTGTGCTTTATTTTTGCAAATTTCCAGTTTTGTAGTTTTTTACCATGGACCACAACTCTCTGTATTGCCCAGATGCCCTCTCACTGGAGCACAGGAGCCACTGGGCCACAGCCTCTCCCTTGGTAGCACAGAGAGCATCCAGATCCTGCCTGGAGGTTTGGGAGGACTGATTCCTTCCCAGGAAAGGCCCCTTCATCTCCTTTGCTACAGAAACAAGCAACAAATGGCAGAAAAGACAGCAGGTACCAATATGAAGAACCTTTTCATTTTTTTGTATTTACTTCTCCATCTACATGTTGTCAACTCAGGAATGCTTGCCAGAGGATACACTGATTAGCTAGGTTTATAAGAAAACAAATACTATATATTATATATATATAAGTATTATTGAGGAGGGAAAGAAGGCCCTCTTAAGAGGGAAATAACAGCTTATATTAATTTAGATTTCCAAATAATTCTCCCCACTCCCATTTCCATGTAGCCAGGTAAGTCCTAGAACATCCCAGCCTCCCCCCTATAACGCCTGAGAGCCTCATGGCCCTCAGCTCACAGACACTGACTGCATTTCCAGCTCTGGAATACATTGCAATTTTCAGGGCTTTTGCTGTGGTTCAAATAGCTTTGTATGGTACACAAAGCTATGTTGCCACACTAACACAGCACTCACTTAATATTTATGACTTCACAGCAATACATCTGCAGTATTTGTTGGGAATATTTCTAACAGAAATGCAGGTTTTCCCCAGAGAATGGATAATTTACTGAAAATGTTTAATCAACCCTTTTAAAATAGAAAACAGATTTTTAATTAGTCTAAATCTATATGCTTTTGAGATTCTGTCATTATTTTAAAATTTGAACACTGTCTTTTTGGCTTATTTTTACTCCTAATAGTTCACTTGGCACAATAATTTATTGGGATTGGAAAAATAATAGGAGCCCTGAGGGCTTGAACTTCAAATCCACTATCCTCTTCCAAATTTGGGTGTCACTTTAAAATATGGTTCAGGAGGAAAATGTATTTATATTAAGGAGATTTTTTCTTGTTTTTATGCATGAAATAGGGCAAATCATCTTGCATACTCTTGTATCATCACATGCTCACATAAATTTTGTAGAATAATACTATGGGAATGCAGACCATCATACCCATTAACCATATTTATTCCTTTACTGTTGCTATGTTAATGCAGTAGAAAGCAATTTGGTTTTGTTCTGGATATAAATTACCTTAGTCAACTTACTAAATAAAACACAATTTCCTTGTAAACCAAATTCTTGGAATCACTTTAATGCATTAGTAGATAATTAGTACTGATTTACATAGTTTGGCTTAAGAAATTAGCTTTAATGTGAGTACAATTATTTAAACTGGTGATGAAATACAATTACTCTTAGGAAACACAAATTTTTACACAGAGTTAGTATAAAAATGTTTCAACAAAAAGTAAAAGCTAGATTTTATTTACTTTCACTTAATCTTTACAGGCTTTTACAATCTTCCTCTTTTGTGCATAAAATCTACTCTTAAACAACTTATCAAGCATAATGGAAAAACTGAAATGACTTCAAAAATTATTAACCAAAGCACGCAATACATCTTTATATAAATTGTCAGCTGTCATCTTGGAAGAAGAAAAAGCAAAGAGAAAGGTGTAAAATTCAGTGATGACTTTACAAGAAACCTTATTAATTTGCTTTAATGATACTGATCTTCTTCCAGAGCAGGCCCTGGCAAGAGGATCCGAGGCACTGGAAGTGCAGCAAGGATCCCACGGCGGTGTCTCAACAGGATGGGCTGGAGCCTGAGGCTGGAACATGTGTGGGATGCCAAGAGGAGGAATCTGATGTGCAGCTTGCTGGAGAGTCACACTGCAGGTAATGATGAAAAATGCCTGTTATTCAAAAGGTCAGGTTTGTTTAGAATAAGATCAAAGTGTATTTGTTGAAATAAGTATGAGAGAATAAAAACCATTCTGTTCCTTCAGGTCCCCCAGCTGAATATCAATTCCCTTATCCTCCTCCCACCTTGTGTAAGGAAAATGTGATTCTTAGCTAAGTTAGCTAAGAACTTTGCATTGGAGTTGAAAACTCAACTGTCTGGAGAGTTAAAACATGAGCAATAGAAAGGTAGGTCTTGAATGTTTATCTGCAATTTTTTTGTAACAGTCAAACATTCAAAAATCTCCCTGAAATTAGTCTTAAAAAAAGAAGTGGTTTCTTTCACCCAGTCTGAAGACAGAAAACAGCAAGAAAACTATGGAGAGGCCATAGTTTGCAGAGGAGGAGAACCTTGCAGTTTGATGAGGATTAATTCACAAACAGAATTTATTGAATGTTCTGGATGAATTGTATTTGCAAGTTCTCCTACATCTGCTTCACCTCTCTCCCACGTAATTATTTTCTTAAAGTGTCAGAAATCACCTATTCTGATCCCAGAGGTAATTCCCTTCTCCTCTTGCATGATTCATCTCACTTTAGCAATGTGGAATTTATAAGCATCTCTCATATTACCCAGTTTTTTGCAATAGTTTTCTCCAGCCTCAGAGCCTGTAAAATTCAAAGAATTTTTACTCATTAAGTGTAGGTGACTTCATCTCCACTCAAGGAAACAGCTCTGTTAGGAATGCCCATGTAGGAGTTAAGCTGCCTCTTGAAGAAGAAGCAATAATTTCTCATTTTCAGCTCAGGTCATAAGACTTTTTTTTTTTTTTTTTTTTTTTTTTTTTTTTGTTCTTATGAGAACTTTTGAAGAGGAGGAGGTGAAGAAGTGATTCAGAGGATAAACAGCAGCAGAGGAGGTACTTATTGTTTCATGGTAGTGTGGACACTGCACTGCAGTGAGCAGGTGAGCAGTTGGCTCCAGAAATGAAACATGGACACACAGTTCTTGCAAGAAGCAACTTCCCTCTCCTTTACATGAGAGCAGGGTGGTAGAAGAGACCCCACTGAAGAGAATCCATGTTTCGGTTCAAAAATAGAACAACAGCACCACACTGCACTCCCCTCATTGGGAAAGCTGGAGAGGCAAACTGAATCACAGTAACTTAGCTAACAAAGCCTTTAAAAATTCAGTTGTCTTCAGGAATAAACTGCATCAGTTTGCTACTGTGAACTAATATTACTTCATAATATTAATAATATTACATAATAATAACAAAAATATTAATGCTATAAAAATATGTTAATATAATAGTAATATAATGAGATACAAATGGAAGCACAGAGGTAGCAGATAGTAATAATTAAACCCTCCAACTATTACAGAGGTCATTAGATGCCCCAAACCCAAGAAACTCATTAGCACAACCATTGGAAAATTCTACTGTTTATGGAGATAGCATCATCACCTCTAAGCTTCCCAGCACTCAAATGACCATTGGTCTTGTGTTTAGTCTGAACACATCGTTGTATCTATAGTTTTCAACTTTTTTCAATATGTTTGATACTGCTTGTGAAATCAGGATGTAGGACTTGATTTTGATACAGCTTTTACGTGCATACCCTGCCTTAGTGGCAATAATTGGCAGGAACTCTCTTCAGCTGCACCCAGAGGTGAGCTCAGTGCCTCACTGCTTCCTAATCTGCCCTGCACTAAACAAGAATAGGTTGATAGCTGATAAAAAAGAAGCTCTAGTGCAAACCAGACTGTGTGATGTTAATGGTTTATCTTGTGAAAGGAGAGCCTGTGTCTCAGATGAACTTCCATCCTCCTGTTACACAAATGCACTCTGATGGAAAGTACCTCAACAAGTGTTTGTGTGTGTGTGCGTGTGTGTGTGTGTATGTGTGCACCCACATGCACACACCCGCTCTTACCTTGGGTAATTAGGCATTTGTTCCTTATCTGTGAGGCTCCTAGTTGCAGACTAAAAAGAAAAAGATGCAATCAATAATAATTTAAATCAATAAGCTAGGCTTGTGCAAAGTATCTTTCAAAGCTGAATAATTCAGAAAACACATTCCTACAATGTGTTTATGTGCTTTACTTTTTATGTGCTTTACTTCAAATAGGAAGACAGCACATGTCCCCGGGAGCAGGGGAGCAAGAGACACTCACAGAAATAAGCAGCTGTTGTGTGGGAGAATGACATGATGTGGATTTGATGCAAATCTTACTCCCACCAGCAAGGCTGGTCACTCTTGGTGACAATTAGGAGAGGTGAGAGATGCATGGATATTAATTGTCTTGATGAAATCCTGTCAGCAGTGGGACTGTGAGTTTGCCTCATGAAGACCTGACTTGGTGACAAATTGGCAAGAAACTGGTTTGTTTTTTTTTTTCATTTTCTAGATTTAAACTTTGAGCATTATGTGATGCTCAAGAAATTGGAAATAAGCCAGGCTAAAGATGTTCCTTCACGAGTCCAATGGACAGTATTGTAAACTACCAACAAGTAAGTATTTTCAAGACTAGAAGTCCTGACTGAAGCACTTTTGAAGCCATGAAGGAAAAAAACCAGCTTTTATACGACTTTCTCACTATCTAAACATAGAAAAATTTGTATGTGCTTCATGATCTCATGTTATTTCAACTTCGCTAAGTTGACTGAAGAAATTTTAGTGCCTGTGAATCCAAATGCCAAAATCAGGTCCTTCTTTTGGTCATCTTCTTGTTGACCTAGCAGGGACAACAGAAATTGGTGGTTGTGCTCAAAAATAAGGGGTGTTTTTTTAGTTTTCAGGGAAATCTACTTAGACACAACCTACAAGCTGGAGAGGCATCAACTGATGAATAAGCAATCTGTTAACAACTTGGACTAAAAACAAAGCACTGATGAGGGCTGGGGAATAAAGCCAGACATTTTGGATAGCAAATGTAATCAATAACCTGCCAGTTTGTAGAATGTGCATAGTGCTCTTCTGGGTGTTTTTTTGACCAAGATGGGAAAGAGATTTGGTCTTTGGCAGCAAGCTGGGCATCTACAGATTTGGAAATCAAAATGTGGCAGAAGAAATTCTGTGGAGGATGCCTTTACTGCAGTGGATTATCTGGCTACTTATAGGACCTTACAGGAACTAGTCAGTATTAAAAAGCTAGTAATGTTGCCCTTCTTGATAGGAAGGCCATTTTTAGTGTCAGTACTACTGGTTTTAACAGCTAAGAAATAAATGCTTGCAGTTGAGTAGCCTGTGGAAAAAGCTTTGACCTCTCCACAGCAGACCACTTACCTTGCCAGTCTTGCCAGGGAGGCCAAGACTGAACAGATGAAACAAAGACTGAATTGCTCATTTATCCCATGGGTATATTTGTCATTGGAGGACTACTAAAACATCTAACATTTTTTCCAAGACCTACCATCAACCATTATATAAGTTGTTGGCATTGAAATAATAACAGTTGTACTAACACCGCCACCAATAATAATAAATCAAGCTTAACATTTGCTTAATGCAGTATTTGTCTCCTGAAGTCCAGCTGAGTTATAGATTGTTCTCTGTGGTCTCTGTCTTGCTCATTACCCAGCAATGAAGCAGGGACACCCAATACTCAGTTCTCGCTGCTATGCCAAGCCTGGAGAACAGAGCATCAGTCATTCCCAGTTCTGATGGGACCTGGCACTTCCCTCCCTAGCAAACAAGTTTGAGGTTCTACAGAGATTAGCTGTGAGGGGATAGCTAACTACAAACGACTCAAAGCATCTTATGTAGTTTCTGCAAGCTTGTGCATATTTTTAGGGGCTGGATGACTAAATCTGTGGGATGTGACACACAAGGTGCCATAATGTAACTGCAATAGTAGGCAGATTTTGAAATTCCATGAAACAGCTAAATGAGATTCACATAGGTATTTCAAATACCCAGTGGTGTAGGTAGGCATCACACAGTTTTTTAAATATTCCCATGTGCTAGGAAGTAAAGCCGTGGGATGCACGTGAAAGCTGTATTGTTTTTTAAGACTTTAAAGGAAACTTGTCTAATAATTCTTGACTAAATATTGTCTCAGCTGCTGCCATTTGTTCTTTTGCTGGACACGCACAAACCCAAAACTCTCCAGCCTTGCCTAAGCTTAAGTAGCCTTGCTCAAAGATAAAGTTTCCCACGGGCAATAGGCTCATTCTAGTTTACTGCTTTGATGTTGCACCCTGAAAAATCTGGGCTACTCAGATTTAAAAGTGGAGCTTTTGTCCACAAATTTTCTGTTTTCCTGAAAGTTTATTTGTGGTATTTGTTTTTGTTGGTTTTGGTCTGTGGGCTAACATCTTGGGGGAAAAAAACGATACTATCAATGTCTACATGTCAGACCAGGTATTTATTATAGAATATTGAGCTAAAGAATTGTCCCTGCCTGTACTTTCTACAAATGAACATTCTACATCCCTAGGCCTTATTTAGTTGTTCTTAAAACAGGGTTTTGTAGAGTGTCAGAACCTTTTGCTTTGCAGTTGCAGGGTATTATTCAGTCCTATACTAAACTGTTACAAAATGAGACGTGAACTTTGAGATAGCATCAAATGTCATAATGGAAGACTGAAATGAGTGCCACTCTCATTATTAACTTCATTATGGTGGAAGCAAGATCAAACTTATCAAGAAACTAAAAATTATGTTCCATAGTAATTTCTAGGAGATATTTTCCTTTCTCATTAAAATAAAATCAAATTCCTTTTCTGACAGACTTCGGATGTGATCTCTTTAAATCCTCAATCAAGATGTCACAAACTGTCTATGAAAAAGACTATTCAAATCCTGATTTCAAACATGGAGTGCAGAGAAGGAGGGCCATGTTTTCAAAGGTACAGCAGGGAGAGTCTGTATATACATGTAAAAACTAGCATTCTTTGAATAAATCTGAGGACTGCTGACATTCACACACAGCACTTTACTAAATGACATGTGAAACAAAGTGTCTCTCAAATGAATGTTCTCTAGTCTGCTTTCCTTAGGAGCTTCAAAGGAGAAGAGAAGGTGGTTGTCATTTTTGTGTCATAGAACTTATGTCCGGACATAGATATCCTCCCTCTGCAATCCTTGTTTACTCTTGCCATTGATATGCCTTCAGTTCTAGAAGAAGTCCTTTTTTTCAAGCATTGAAATATTTGATTTCTGTTGCTGGACACAGACTATAATGATTCTTCCCTCTTATTTTCTGCAGTGCAAAGCTGCTGATTTATATGCATCACAGACTCTATGACAGTGTAAGAGAGGGCAGTGAGGTTAGGATCAGAAGGGAATATAGTGATCATTATCTGAGTTACTGGATAATTTCACAAAATTAACAATTCTGGTTTGATACTACATTTCTTCTGGTATGATTCAATAATGAACTCTGGAGAAGCAGGACAGCTACAGAGGCAGGACTGCTGCTGTGGCTTTAAAATGAAACCCTACAGACAAATACTTCCCAAAAGTCACCCTTGTCTTCTTATAAGCTGCAGTGAACCCAAGCCCTCAGGCTCTGAGCACCTTGTGAAGGTTTTGCTCAGGACAATGCCTCCCTATCAGCCGCAGAGGATATTAAAGCTGAAATATCTGGACTGCAAAGCTGCTACTGGGCCAGCAGGAATTTCCCTTAATTAATTATAGTACCTCACAAGTTCACATAAATACAATGCAGCCTAAAAGAATAATGAAAGCAGTACTGTGCATTTTCCCTTGCAGTAAGGAACTAATGCATTTAGGTGATAATTTTAAATAGAGATATACAAATGGTACTAAGTCCAATGTGAAAAAAAACCAGTTTTCCTTTCAGCATATGTACTGAAGTCTACAGAAATGAAAGGCCTAAAACCAATATCCTCTAACAGACTCTTTATGTTACAGCAAGAGAAAACTACTTGCAGAAAAAACAGATGCTTTATACTATTGTAGATGACATTCAAACACAAAGAATCTTAAAATATTCTGAGTTGGAAGGCACCAACAATCATCATAGTCTGGCTCCTGGCCCTGCACAGGGCAACCCCAAAAATCCCTTTCTTCTCCCAGAAGGGAAAAAAACATCTTAAATCACCAATGGTATGGTTTTAAATAATGACCATAATACTCACAAAAACTGCTATAGCAGTAGAAAGTTCATAAAAAATTTGAAAATTGATGGCTGATTTACAAATAAAATATTGAAGTAATCAAGCAAATTGTTGTAAAGAAGCCATCTACCCAAATTCTGATGATGCAGTAGGAAATAAGCTACAGAAAAGCTGAGCCACAGAGACTTGGTAAATTTTCTGCCCCATTAACTCACAGTGAGTTCATCTTTGGGATGAAATCTTGACACTGCTGAAAGCTTGATTATGCTAAAATAAATGTGGTCAGATACAGAAAATGTTCATTACAAATTCAATGCCCGATCCAAAAGGGTTTGGATCAGACCTCTGCACAACACTTACAGTTGTTCAGGGTCCTTAAGGCAGAAAAAGCAGAACTTACCATCCAGGTTTTCATTTTCTTGTCTGTTTCTGACAGTGGTGTCTCTCAGGTGATGAATTGTTTCCTTTAAGCAAAAAAAAAAAAAAAGCATAAAACCAGCAGCAGAAATCAATAATGGAAATTTACTGTAGAAATAGTAAGACACTATAAAAAGCTGAATTCTTTAGCATTCTGAACATCAAGCATCTCTCTCCTGGAAAGAAGTTTTAAAAGACTGAAAAATGCTTATAATGCTAAGTTTAAGATTTTTACCTAAGACTCTTGTGGAATTATCCCTGCCAGCAGTAAGTTAAAATTATTCTGGCATTGGATCACAGTCTTGGGTATTCTTTTCTGTTTGGTTGTGGTTTTTTTTTTTGTTTTGTTTTGTTTTTTTTTTTTTTTTTTAAAAATTGTTTTTTTTTTTTTTTTTTTTTTTGAAAAGCATTTTTTTTTTAAAAATCCAAATGAAGGACAAAAAACTTCAGTGACAGCATGAAGTCAGTTCATCATGTTTGTAGAGAACTAAGAAGAAAAGACTTCTCTGTGGAACAAAACCAAAGAAAAGTCACATATGCGATGCAGGATAAAAACCACCACTACAAAGTAGCTTTTTCCCTGAAGCACTGAATACAGGCCAAGTAAATCTTCCTTGAAATATGGGCATCTTCTAGTTTACCAAGAAAAAGACTTATAACTTGGTGATGCTATCATGGTACAGATTAGATATCTTCCTGCACAAGAAATGCCCCTGACTAAGAGCAATCCCAGCAATTCATCCACATGCTTGGCTGCAGATGGATTTGGAAGGTGGCATCCTAGTGCTGTGCTGCTGCTGCCCAGCTTGGGAAAGGGCCCCCAGACTGTTCCAGGACCTTGCACTTTTGTTGTTAAGTGTTCCACTGTGATGATAAAGCTCAAACTTTCAAGTAGATGCAAACACAAAGAGCACTCTCTTTGCTGGCAGCATCTGATAGCTCTTTCACTCTGAAAAGCAGCAGACTAGCTTTGCTTTTCTTTTTTCTACTAAATGACCTAAAGTACAACAAGAAATTATTTTTGTTAATGCATGACCTCATATAAAACAAGGGCATAACCTCTTCCTCCGTGTGTCTTTTTAGAAGTAATTAACAAACATCCTCTCCATGATTTACAGCTTTGATGCAGTACTTTCAGTGACTCAGTGTGTGGGTTTTTGTAAATCCTGTTTTTGTGTACCTCAATTTACTCCATAAATTGAATACAAAGCAGCTGTAGAGCATTGCCAACAATTGTGGATTTCACTAAGTATATTCAAGCTTTTCAGTCAGGCATAAAGCCTGGTGTAAGTTAATATACTGTAATTGCTAGAATAAATGTATGCTTGATATAGTCAGGTTTTGTTAGCTGACACTGCTCAGTAGCACATTTGGTTTGTCTGGTGACATAAGGTTTGTGGTTTCATGAAAGATGCACATCACCCAACAGTTTAAAACACAAGTCTTAGCAGACCAGCATGTTTAACTCTGGACTTAAACCAAACTCAGAAAACCTCTCAAACAACAGTGGGAACAGGTATCTAGAAGATTCAGAACCATAACCAGCAAGTTCCTTGGGAGCTGATTTGCATATAAATAATGATTATTACTTTTGACTTCGTATGCAGAAGCCAAAACACAAGAACTTGTTTTTAGAATATCTGATCAAGATTCCTATCAAGGAACAAATTTCAAACTCATACCTGTTGAGTGGATGGTAGTCTCTGCCTTTTGTTCTGCCACAGTTTAAATCTGTCAAGGGCTTCATCCACAGAAATTGCCCCCTCTTTCACCTGTTTCTGCAAGTGGATGAGTTCTTCCTGTTCAGGAGGGATCCTGTGTACCACAGTGCTGTAAGTTACTGTCTCAGTGTGGCCTCTGTTTGCTTCTACAACAAAATGTACAACGTAAGAAATGCAACAAATCAGTGAGGATTCTAGCATTCCTCTTTGGCAGCAGAGCAGCACCCCAAACATTTCCTTCATCACTGCTGCCCTGGTCCATGGATTGTC